TTATATAAATATTAATCTTATGTCATAAAAGAAGACATTAGCATATATTGTATCTTAGAGGTCAAATGTAAAAGAAATTTTTCTACTTAAGAAATAAACAAGTGATTGCTACTTTGCAATTACAATTTCTACAATTGGTATATGAATTTTTATAAATATTTCTAATATATAATACAGTTTTTGCGTTGTAAAATAATTGAAGTTTATTTTTTATAACAACATTTATGTTGCTGTGTCAATAATAAAGTTTGTAGTGACAAGTTGATTTTATAAATATCTCAGGTAGTATGTCCTACTGTAATGCGACAAATTTGTAGATAATGCAGATGTACATGATGTACATTATATATATATTATTTATATATTTTTCTGAATATCTTGATATGCTACTCTCTGGATAACAGTGGTATTATAGCGATCGAACGATAAAGTATAAAATTTTAGTCTATATTTACTTTTTATGGCATTGTACATCCACATATGTAACTTGTCTGTGGTAATACAATAAAATAGAAATGTGAAAAATGTCACTCCACCTTGTTGAGTTCAATTTATGACTGGAGGTCTGGACACAAAATTAAGATTAATCAATGTAATGGCCGATTCGTTTGCATGACTACGGATGAACGGCAAATCTGTGATGAATCTGACACACTTAGGAGGTGGATGTGTAAGTTCGCTGTACTTGAGATTTTGAATGTAAGTTTTAACGATGAGCAATATACCGATAATATACTGAAGGTATGGGTTTGTAACCCAGAAATGGTTATGGGGCTATGATGGTGACAGAGCTCCACACTTGCAGATTCAGTCTGTTGAGCTCAATTAACGACTGAAGGCCTAGACATCAAGTTATGATTGATGACATGTACTGGCCAATCTTGCATCTCCAGTCTGTTGGGCTCAATTAATGACCGTAGGCTTCGACACCAAATTAAGATTTAAGGAACGATTGACAAATTATTATTCGTAATTTCGCAAACCAATTTTAATTAATAAAATTTTTCGCCATAAAAAAACAAAGTCAAGATTTAATCAACACACCAAATTATTTTTATTTATTATTTTAAGGATCATAAAATTGCGATTACCAAAACAACTGTAAACTGAAAACTTGTTATCATAATATTATGAAGTTTTGATAGCATCGTTTGAGGGATGCTATTCTCCACAAATTGTATGGAGTTGTTGATAGTGTTGCCATATATCAGGCAGCCCCAAATCTTATTGAATGGTATGATACTACTTTAAAAGTTTAAACTCATCGTCAGGAATAGATTGAGAAACACTAATGTTTGTCTGCCTTTGGTTTGATTGCAACTTATTATTTCAATTTTAAATGTCTAATTATAAACTACCCTAAACATGTTGTTATTAGTATCTAATAAACTTTAAATTAAGCTCGCATGAATATTTTACAATAAATCTAAATATCGGATATTTTTAATTAAATTTTCACGCTGGTAATTTACCAACGAGACCAAACGATACCAAGCGAGATATTGACATTGTTTATTTCTTTTATGAAGAATCTATTTTGATCGTTTCTAATGTTTTGGGTAATTGCTTAAAAAATTAGCTATAAAAATAAGCTATAAAATTAGTTTCTAATCAAGTGAATTTTTTAAGTTGGAAATATAATTTTGTATTTATTTCTTTTAAATTTTTTTTTGTATCTACGTACGTACAAATAAATTAGGTCTGACGTAAAACAAATAATTTTTGACATAAGCCAATGAGAATATGATTAATGCAAAATTTAATTATAATAAATTCAGTATTATTGATTGTAACGATTATTACATATCGTTTCTTGCAATTGATTTATTACGATAAAGGACATTATCACAGTAAACACTACATTTCAGCTTAAACTCACTATGCGCTTAAATATTATAGTTTCTGAACAAAATTTTTAAAAAGTATCTCATATTTAAAAAGTGCTCTCATAGTGTAAATCTATATTTTAAATGTCGTGATTTTTATTTTTATAATAATAACTCAAGATTTAAAAGCATTCTAAGTAAAAAAAATTAAATTAATAATTCGCAAGACTATAAATTATTTAAATTTATTATATTTATTGTATTGCTTTTTTATTTTTATCAATACATTATGGTAAAAAAATTTATTTTTATATGCAAACCTGAATTAGACTTCAACAAAAACTCATTCGAATCGGTATCTTTATTTTGGCATTAATTTCATCTTTGTTTACACAGCATTTTCATTCGAAATTCTAAATTTATGTTCATTATTAATACGTATAGTATAGATTATGAAGATATTTTCAAAACCAAATATATATATAAATATGATAATGTCCATAATATTGTTATCTTTATTAAAACAAATTAATACATAATTTAGCGGAAATATTTCACAGCATTTTATAAGTATTCATGAGTTCAAATTATGCATATCCGTAATGTTATGCAGCTTAATATATTCCACAGATACGGTTTTTATACTTTATTATAAACATAAAGTATTTATTAAACATATATAAACTCGGATAGTAAAGTTCAGCTGAGAGCGTAAAATGATTTTATTAAATTTAGTCTAATGTGAGCAGATAATTCATAAATGATGATGACTAAGCGAAACTCAGTCGTTTTTACGCAAACGTTTTGCTCCAACAATTGCTGTGAGAATATCTGAACAGATATAAATGTTATTATATATTCTGAACCTAACAATTTGATGTGTATTTAACAAATATTACATTAAAACAGAATCATGTACGTACTCATGTTTACAGCTAATTATATTTTAATACTCAATTATTTGAATGACTCCATCAAACCTACCTCAACATCATTTAGAATAATAAATCATCTGTATTTTCAAAGGTGATTTAATTATTCAATATTGAACAATTTTTAGATAAAAAGATTCAAATATATTATTGAATCATTTTTGTGCATGTTGATGAGTCAAACACTGTCTGATTAATATATGCGGCGTCATAATTTTATATTTAATTAATTTTTTTTTTGTAAAAAAAATATAAAAAAAGGTTAAAAAAAGTGATTTTAATGAAGTGACAAAATATTGCATTTATTTTCATAAATTTATTTATAATTTAAAGTTTGAGATTTGTTTGGAAGAGGTTACAAAAACATCTACTACTATTTTAAAATCTTTAATATGTACATAACAAATTATTATATATTACTACAATAGTTTATTATTTTAGTGAAAATACGAATAATATTTTTTAAAAAAAAAAAAATTTTTATAATTATAAATAATTTTAATCACAGTCGAACGCAACAAACATGAAGGGTCATACCCTGTTGTGTAAAAAAGTGTGGTAAGTACTTTTCACACTGGTGTATTCAATTCACTTTTACGAGATTATATTAATTCTGTAACAGATTATAATTAACAAGAGCAAATACTAGCATACATAGTGTCTTGATGAAAACTTTCTATTTAAGTTCGTTAAATATTTCACAAGTCATAAATAATGTACCTATATAGAACGTATTTATCTGAGATGTAAGACATTTTTTTATTTATTACTTTTTATCACTACTTTTATTTTTTACTTTTGCACACACAAAATTTGGCATAATGTTTGCGAAGCAATAAGCAGTAAGATCCTATAAACTGTATTTATTTTTAATCAGCTGAAAGAGAAAAACGATCTGTTGAGGTTTGTCCACTTGTTTTACAGGGACTTGAAGTTTTGTCTTAATGACCATAGCAGCCAGGTCACGTTGTCGTCGACTTACTTTGATTGAAAATGGATAAAGCATTTTATATGATTTCAGTGAAACCTATATACCTGATTGAACCCTTTTGGTAATATTACTAATTGCAGTAGAGAAACACTGACAACATTTAAGATATCTTTTAGCAGATAATAATCCTCATCTTGTAATACTTCTGTTCTCCACCCTAATAATCTTTTGTTTTTAAATGCTGGGTAGGTACTTTTTTCTTTGCAGTTTTATTGGATGTATAAACAATTAAAACTGATTTTTATTGATTATTTTAAAGCACACATATCCTTGTTAATATTTCGTACGATAGTATTCATCATTTGGAACTGAGCTTCAGAATATAGGGTTCAAAAAATACCAGGAATGTAGACTGTTTTACAAAAAGTACTCATGTTTAAAGTATAGTATTGCTAAAAAATGGATAGTTCAAATCCACTACCAGTAATCAAATTTTCAATACTATTCGAAGCACCAAAATATTAGAATTACTTTCTAATATTTATCTAATACAATATGAAACAAACGATTTTGAATATATATTCGAGATTTAAGAGTTGAAAAAAATTTATAAACTGATTATTTGCAAAAAAGAAAACTATCTGTACTGCCTTAACATGTAGAATGTACATACAATAAGTGCAAAGATAGAAGAACCATATTTTACAAAGTAATGATATTAACTAATATCGATTTAATCGCATCAATTAATTCCGGTTTATTCGCAACACATTGCATTTTTTAATGGTTCTCAGTGTATTTTTATAAATAAGTAGAAATATTCCATGTAACGTACACAAAAACAAGGATTTAGCTGAATTAATCAAGCTAAATAATTAATTAGTTACATATTATTAGTTACGGGATCTAGGGATAAAAGATGAATTTTTATTTCGATGATACAGAAGAAAACCTGTTAAAATTATGAACATGGCAGAATAATACCAGAGCTCTATATCTGATAATACTGTCTAGAGTGACTAAAATACGTCAAAAATTAGAAGATTGTCTTTAAAGATTAAGATTGAATGTAAATATCACAATTTTAAAGATTTTAGTTTCTACATCTATTTATGGGTCCATTAAACAGAGATATAAAAGCAAATTTATTAAGTCATTAATTAATACCAAAAGAGATCTGCTAGTTTTACGAAAAATCATAGTTAAATATGAGCTTTTCAGTAAAAATTTTACAAAGGTCTAGTTAGTAAAAAAATTAAAATAATTTGATTTCTTTTTAGCTATCAAATAAATATCTGTAATTATTAAAATAAAATTTTTTTTCACAAAATTTGGGAAAAGTTTTCTTTCCTTGTGTACTTCTAATAAATCGCAAAATGCGTTGCTGGATATTTTTGGACATTTAAAAATTATTGTATGTGAGTATATATTACAAATATTATATTAGTTTATATCTTTTTATATATTCTTATATTAATAAATTTATGTTTTTCTTATATGTTAAAGTGTTATTATAAATCAAGTTATCTTGTAAATACTCCAAGTCTTTGGAGTTATCTTGTAATCCATATACATATGATGATTAATATTATAAACTGGTTCTTTTATATACCATGATTTTTTATTGATTATGGTTGAAATAAGAAATGTTACTATTTTAAGCTTGTTAGGAGTTGGGCTCTTAATTGTTCTTCATTTATTCCCCAACCTAACAGATTACTTTCTTTATATTCTAATGTGACCCACTTTTTGTACTGACTTTTTAAGATTAGAGTAGAGATTAGACAGTAGAGTAATTTGTAAAACAGAAATAATTAAATAACTGTTGTGTCGTTATTATAAGTTTACCAGAACAATATTAAGATTTTTTTTAACTCCTTACTCCTTAATTGTAATTCATTCTATTCGTTTAGTACGTTTAATTAAAATACAATCAGTTTAGTATCAATTTAAGAATGGAAAATTTTATTTGCATTTTTTAAGAAGATAAACATCAGACTATTTTGTGTTCTCTTATAAACTTAAACCTTAAAATTATAATTTTATAATAACTTTCTTATTTGATCTTCAAATCAATGCTTAAATATATTCAACTTTATGACTGACTAAAACAGTTGACATGTATTAAATATAACATTTAGAATTATAGTATAAGATGATAAAGCAAATTGTGTAATCTTTTTTCATACAAATCTTCCTTCATGTACAAAATGTAGTAGATTTAAGCGATGAATCACAGTAATTAACAACAAAGTTCATTTTAAAACCGGTTTCAGCACTTTTTTTTTGTAATTTATTGTTCTTTGTTCTTCTGTTTCTTAATGAAATGGACTATATATAATCTTATGTGACAACTATTCTAATATTAATATAAATATTATTCCGTTAGGGCCATATTATACAGATAGTCATTGTCATGTCCTATTTTCAATGTAAATTTAAATTTGAGATTGAGAAAAAGTGCATTTTGCTGAAAAAGTTTTCTGTGCCTCGTCATAGCTAGTTTTATTTCACAAATAAACTTTAATAACTGGTTTTGAGGTTAAAATCGATTTCCGCCATTAAAGTTCGTAACGTGAAAATGATAAAATATAATTACCTAATTAAATTTAGGTACAAAAAAGACTTGTCTATATAGTAGTAAAGGTAGGAAATTGACAATTGTATTATGACTCTTTGCATAACATGTCTTTGGTGATGACCAATTGCCGTAACTATTCGTCATGAACCATTTCACGCTTTATATAACATGACCGATAGGAGAGTTTTCACTATAATTGTGTTTAAACGAGCATATTTCATTATACTTAGTTATTTAGCAAACTTAAACTAGGTCAGTTTAGGCATTATTGCGATGATTGTTGGGATCCACCACTTAAGCATGTCAATAAGTTAATTATATATAAAAAAAAGTTTATACACAAAATATAAACAAAATATAGGCAGATCTTTCATTTGGTCTTTAGAAAGTCTGAAAAGAGCTGTCAGTCTTGCAAATGACCGCTTCCAGAATACGAAAGATCTTTCAAACGAACTCTTGCCAGAATTGTCCTGTTAATGTACTACATTTTATATAATAAAATATAAAACTTTTACTTTTAATCGGATTAGATTTAATTTTAACATTAGGAGAAGGTTTAGTCTTTTAGCTTTAGTCTGAGAAGGTTTTATTAAAAAATTCCAAGTAACTATATGTGGAAAATAGATATTAAAGATTCAAAGTAGACAAAGTCAACGTCTTTATTTTCTTTTAGTTCAAATCCTTTTATGTTAAATATATCTCTACCAAGTATTTTAGCGAAATCTTTCTTAGTCTAGCCCATTTATAACTATTTTATTCCCTTGAGCAGATTTCCTTTCTGTATAAACCCTATACTTCACGTACTATACTTTTATGTTAAATATATCTCTACTAAGTATTTTAGTAAAATCTTTCTTTGCCTAGCCCATTTATAACTATTTTATTCCCTTGAGCAGATTTCCTTTCTATATTAACCCTATACTTCACGTACTATAGAACCCTTTTTTTAATTGCACAATACAAGTAGCAAATATGCTTGTTCTAACAAAACGGCCGAGGTAAAATTAGTGCTTCTTCCCGCACAGTCAAAAATGCTGACGTTCAGCTCGAAGCTATACAACAACAAAAACAAAGAAACTCACACCGCCATTCAACAATTAACTTTTTTTCTGTAAACTAAGCTAAATTTACTTTGTTAATATATTTATGTAAACAATATCCCTAAGATGAGTGAACACGATACGCCATATGTTTGTATGTATGTACAGGCATGCATATAAATATATGTGTACATATTTTGCATTAAACTGAAACATATTTTAGTTTTTTTAAAGCTCTTTGATGTTTATTTTATGAAAAAGTATGTGATTAAGAATTTGGTATATTCAGCAAAAATTTAAAAAAATATGATGGATTTTTAATATAAAATAATGCCTTGTCTAAAAAACTGATTTTAATTAATTCAAATCACTGCAACGAAAAAGAATGGCATCTTTTTTATTAAAATTAATAAAAATTGAAATTAATTGCAAAAACGCAGATTTTAAAGCTAAATAAGCTGCTTGAATTAATCCCAACCAGAACAACAATGATAATAACAACAACAAAAGCAAAAATACCAACAGTAAAAGTAGTCAATTGATAAAGAAATTGCTTTTGTTGTTATATTAACTGTTCCTAACATGACAACAATAATAACAACAATAACAATATATAATCGGTCAAATTAGCTTTGTAAAAGGTCTTTCTCCTTCATCTCTTCACTTGCTTCCTACCTAAACAAATTGATTTGAATCAAGTAAACAAAGCCAGCAAAACTTAGTTGATAAAAGCAATTTGCAGTGCTTTTTGTATGGCAATATTTTTTAATGGAAGTTAAGTTTGGAAGCGTAAAAAATGTATAAAAAAAAAGTTTCTTTGTTAGTTGAATTAGCAATGAATGGTTTGTGTGTGGGTATTTTAAATATTAGAAGCAAGTTGTTTTTGTAGTTAATTTGTTGAAGCTTGTAAAGTGAATATCAGTTGGCATAATATTAAATTCAAAAAGCAGTTTAATAATTTAGTAGCAGTAATAACTTATTGAAATTAATATTTAATCAACTTGAAATTTAAAATGCCTTTTAAATAATTATAAAAAAAGTGTAGAATATTTATTAAAATTTTTTTTTAATTAAATTGTGGTGCGTTATGTGAGTGTGTATTTTATGTCTTCTACTGCTTGGTACTTAAATGAATTTAGCATTTTTTAGTTATAATTAGCATTAGTGGTAATAATTGCATTATTTACTTCATAATAATAATAGAATATCATTTTATTGTACTTACATATTCTGCGCTTTTTGAATCATCAGCTTTGATTTGGCCACACATTAAAAGTGCAACAATTGTTACACTTGTCAAAATGTTAAGACGCATTTTCAACACTTTAACACTTACGAATTATTAATTAATTTTTAAAATTTCGAATTTCTTTAAAACCAATTTTTTTTTAATGTTAATTAATTTCGCAAGGAATTAAAGTGTAAATTTAATTTATGCAGTTATGAAAATAAAACAAACCGAACACTTGTTCAAAACAACACAACACGGCAAATGACACAACACTACTGAATTTATGAAAACAACACCATCCAAATTTTCCAAGAAATGGAACTTAAGACCATATGTGTGTGGAATGTATTTTATTAGTAGTCAAAAAAATACTTTAGTGTTGCTGTTTACAGAAAAAGTATTTTTAAACTTATGTTAATGTGTAAAAACAAATGTAAACATATATTAAATTAAAATAGGGTATTCAGGATGTCTGTGTGCATCGTTGAATGTGCAACATTACAAACTCAAATAATTGTGAATACATTTTGTATATATTAATCTTAAAAATATTTAGAACAAATGATTTTTGTTTTCGTATTTATTTACTTATTTACTTTCTTTTTTATAAATTTGTTTTATTATTTAAGGTATTAAAACAATAAATTCACAATTTATGTATTCACAATTTAAACATGTTGTTTAAACATGTTCATATGAATAAAACCAAAAACCAAAGAATACTTTGCATATAACAAAAAGTTATTGGAGTTTATTCCTAAATTATTCTCTTAAGAAATAATAAGTCTAGAAGGCATATAAAGGCAGCTGTTATTGTCCCTTACTAAACTATATACTGACTATTGTTTATGGTTTCAAAATTTAAACAAAAATGTAGGTTTCCAGATCTTTTTCTAACACGCTTACGGTCTTCAATTATTTTTTATAATCTAAGAAATAATATATGCGGTTTTTGAATCTGGAACTTATAAAGAACTATTAACGAAATAGTTTTTGATTTCAATGAACTAATTGATAGAATTGCAGCTCTAAAGACTAGGGAAGTATATATTTAAAAAATTCTTTTAAATATAAAGTTAATTTATATTTATTGTTTTATATACATTGTTTTTCAGATCTTCTTTATATACAGTCAGCGACAAAACTCTACATACACCCCCCATTTTTGCTAGCTCGTAAATCCAAGGACATAGTAGAAAAAAGTAATGATACAGTTTTGTTTAGAACTGTTTTTTAATAATAATAAACAAAAGAAAATCCATTCATCAATATAAATTAACAAAGTTATTCGAAAAAAACCTAAAAAAATCATTGACAAAAGTCTACATACACTTCATTGGTTGTTAGATATAGTCGACAGTAATTTAAATGTTAAACGGGAAAGTACCGTTTTTCATATTTCATGCTTGTGGCATGAGTCATACATTTATATAATGCACTTAGTTGTGCTTTGAGAGTGGTATTTAATTGACACGAGGGGTCCACGAAAAGAATTTCAAGTGATATGCGAAATCTGGTTATTAAGCATAGAAATGAAAAAAAACCTTATGGTAAAAGTATCAAAATTAGTTAATTAAACTCGATCAACAGTTCAGACGATAATAAAAAATTTTAAAAATACTGGTTCTCCTGAAAATAAACCTCGCAGTGGCCGCCCAAGGATACTCATACGTAGGGATGTCAGCTTGGTTTTAAAAGAAGTTAACAAAAATCCGAAAGTAAGTGCCTTAAATTTAGTCGAACACATTGCTAATGCAACTGGAAAGCATGTCAATCTACGTCAAAGTTATTTTTCCTACTTCAGTTGCAGCTACGGCTCCCCAAAGCATAGCACTGCCACCACCATGCTTTACAGTTGGCATTATATGTTTCGGGTTCAGTGCTGTTTTCGCTTTCCTCCAAACTTTAGCTTTCCCATCGCTTTCAAATATATTGAATTTGGATTCATCTGTAAATAAAACTTGCTTCCCGAAATCAAAATCCTTTTCTTTATATTGTTTGGCAAACTCCAAGCGCAGCTTTCGGTTTTTTTCAGAAATTAAAGGTTCTATGGTTTGGCAGTGCTATGGTTTGGGGAGCCGTAGCTGCAACTGAAGTAGGAAAAATAGCTTTGACGTGGATTGACATGCTTTCCAGTTGCATTAGCAATGTGTTCGACTAATTTTAAGGCACTTACTTTCGGATTTTTGTTAACTTCTTTTAAAACCAAGCTGACATCCCTACGTATGAGTATCCTTGGGCGGCCACTGCGAGGCTTATTTTCAATAGAACCACTATTTTTATAATTTTTTATTATCGTCTGAACTGTTGATCGAGTCAAATTTACTAATTTTGATACTTTTACCATAAGGTTTTTTTTCATTTCTATGCTTAATAACCTGATTTCGCATATCACTTGAAATTCTTTTCGTGGACCCTTCGTGTCAATTAAATACCACTCTCAAAGCACAACTAAGTGCATTATATAAATGTATGACTCATGCCACAAGCATGAAATATGAAAAACGGTACTTTCCCGTTTAACATTTAAATTACTGTCGACTATATCTAACAACCAATGAAGTGTATGTAGACTTTTGTCAATGATTTTTTTAGGTTTTTTTCGAATAACTTTGTTAATTTATATTGATGAATGGATTTTCTTTTGTTTATTATTATTAAAAAACAGTTCTAAACAAAACTGTATCATTACTTTTTTCTACTATGTCCTTGGATTTACGAGCTAGCAAAAATGGGGGGTGTATGTAGAGTTTTGTCGCTGACTGTATATTGAATTACTTTATGAAGTAGAAATATATGGTGGAAATCTTTGTGATACTAACTTTAGCATGAATTGTCAAATACATCAATATATTAAATATATCAACATATTCTTTAAAAAAACATTTTGAATGGGATAGTTTAATCATTCATGGTTCATATATGTACATTATTCCCTATCATATAAATTATATATATATATATGCATATAATATATTTATTATAATCTATTTAAAAAAGTTATAATTAAAATGATTTTACAAACAAATAAAATATTTTCTTTTAAAGAAATTATTATTTTCATAACAAATTTTTTCTTTATTTTACTGTATTATTCTCGGTGTTTAGAACATATTAGGCTAACCTAGTTAACCTTCAAACTGTTACGTTGGTTACTCAATAATTCCTTAGCGTATTGATATATTATATCCAAAAAATATCAATAAATAGTTAGCAAAGAGGACTATCAACAGTTTTTTAAATCACAATTATATAGTTTTCATTTATTGTTATTAATAATATAAAAATAATTTAACAAAATAAAATGTCCACTCATACAGGTAGAGCTTTTTTGAACTCATGTTTAAAAACACCAATAGATCCTTGCAATAACTGTCCTGCGCCTATTTACAACCGACCAAAAATTTATTTAGGGCGCTGTCATAAAACAAAAGTAAAATCTACGAAGCAAGTAAGCCCTTCCGATCCAGATACAGAAACAGAAGAGTTGGTTGCAAATACTGAGATTCGTTCTTTAGCTGAGCTTTACGATAGTATTCCAAGTAATATAAATGAATATTATATATTATTTATAGTAATTAAAAGTAAAAAATCTTTTATAATTTTTAGATTACTGTGATATTAATCATTTGCCAGAAGCTGAGTTTTACACAACTTTAGAAACATTACGTATAACTTGCGAAAATTTGAGAACCAATGAACCAAATACGTCGGAATATATTGAAAATCATAATACGGGCATGTCCACAAATTGCAATGCTAAACAAATAACTAAAAAGAGACCGACACCTATTATCAATATAAAAACGGTCCAGAAAAAACCAAATACCGCAATAACAACAACCAATACAAAATCGAATATATCTACACCATCTGCTTGTCTACGACCTAATAACTCTGCAGCATTTACCTGTCAAAAACCTAATACACTTTCACCAACGACTTGTACTAGGACTTTTCAAAAGAAACCATACGCTCATATACGTTCAAAAGTTTACCAAAGAAAGCCAACGATAACTATTAATGGAAAACAGTGCCAAAGAAAATCTACAACATATGCTGAGTTTAAACTAAAAGAGAAATTACAGCATCCACCATTTTTTCAAGATGACATCGATGCGGAGACAGCAACATTTCAGAAGTATCAAATAAACGTACCTTAATTTATAATTAAATCTGTAAAAAATTTCAATTATTATCATTTCAGTTGTCGAAAAGAATTCCAAGCTGAAGTTCAAGCTTTCAAAAAAACACTTAGGGAGCTAGAATTGGAACTTACCAGACCAAGATCGTTTAATATATCTGAAATTAATGAACAAACAGTTTCTACAAATGATTTATGTTCATATCGAGAACGTTTGAAAAAATCATTTTCTGCTAATGATATCGGTAATTACCGATGGATATGGAATGAGGATCCTATTGAAACAGCAGAAAAGGAAATCTTTAAAGCGATATGTTCACCAGAACCGCATGCGCACTTAATACAGCCAATGAATTTGAGTAATGGAAACAATAGGGAAGAAACGAAAGTATGCAGTGAAAAACTTAAGGAAGAAAATAGAATTATGTAAGTAACTAAATAAACAGTTATTTATATAAATATTTTCGAATTGCACATTTATACATACTAATAAAAGTAATATAGTTCCTGTATCAATGTCATCCAACACTATTTGGGGGAACATGCCTCAAATTTCTCAATCTGTCCATTTTTAGATTATCTGAACTGACACCATATTTTTCTAGGTCATGTTCTTGTCTGCAACGCTTCTTTATTAAGTAATAAATTCGTATTATTGTCATGTATAAATGGTTATTTAATAATTGTTTTGACAATTAATTGGATAATTTCTCCAGACATAAATTAAGACGGCTAATTTTAGATTGGAGAAAACTTCGAGACTCTCACTGCTAATTCTGTTGTTAGGAAATGATAAAATACTAATTAATGGATTAGTTAGTATAATCTACTTATTGTAAATATTTGTTATGTTATCACCGGTCAGAAAACCCAGTTTATTAAAATCCAGTGCAATAATCAATAAATTAAGGAAAAGTTCTCAACATGAGAATATTGTTATAAATGTACAAACCATTCACAGTCTCTACTGTGAGAAATATATCATTTTACTACATAGAGATCTTATAGAGCTTATAAAGAAAATTTAAATTGTCGACCTCCGCACTTAGTGTTCGAAACAATGTTTAAAATTAGTTTCTTTAGTGTTATGTTTAAATCCCAAAAATATAAATTTTTTGTATAAATATACACCTTCATTTTTTTTTAATTAGAGAACCTAAAACTAATCCAACTACTTCGAATGAAATATCAATGACTACTACACCTACTATAATTGAAACTCCTGTAATTAATTTAACACCAGTTTCTAAAGTCAGTAGCAATACAGATGTCTTAAATATTGCAAATCTTAAAGCTAATGTAGACACGAAGAACCTAACACAAGAGCAAACATTTCCTATGTGTAACACTTCGACTTTAAACAAATCAAAGGTAAAGGACAAGAATTTATTAAAGTCAGAACAAGCACAAACAATTCTTTTTTTTTAATAGATTCATTATCCGGCAATAATATATCCAGTAGCTAGACAGAATCTTGCTGCTACATTGCGTGCTGAGGTTGCTAAAAAAAAACTAGAAGAATTGGCTACTTATGACAACCCAATACCGAGCCCACCACCTTACGATTGGGGAGTACGTAAAACTCCAGCTTGGAAGTCCTTATCCTACAAGTAAGTTTGTATCTAATATCTATGTATCTAAAGATCAAATAATATAATACAATTTAGTATTGTAACTTTAAATCAATATCAGATAATAGTCCAACGGCCAGATAATGGCTGTCAAAACATTGTTTGAAACAATGTTTGAAATTAAATATAATATGTATTATAAACTTGTAATATAGATATTTTATCTCATTCACATAAGTCTTCTCTAAAACAGAAATAATAAAAAAACTGAATTTAGAACTACTCTAAATATGAAATTTATCATCTCAATATAATAGGGAACACCATAGGTTTACTATTATTTGTAATATCTTAATTAAAGAAATAAAAATGTATCTTCTCGGTCCATTTCCATTTAGTATTAGCGGAAAACAGCAGTTTCAGAAATCACCAATAATGCCATCTCTATATCGGAAAAGATATACTATTAAGCAATGTACAGTGATGAAAGGTGTAAACACATATATGTATATTGCTTCTTGTTAAAGTTAAAAGAGACCTTGTTTTTCCTCTTTTGTTGCATATTTTGTTCTTAAATTGTCAGTGCTTATGACATACATATGTTTTCTACTTTCCGTCGTTGCTATTTGATCTCTAATAAGTTTAAAATAGTTTTTGTTTTTTATTTTTTTAAGAATATTAACTTTTATTTCCAGCATTAATTTTTTGTATACATATTTCTATACGTATTTCGGCAAATTCGCTTTTGTCTTCATCAGGAGAATTTATTGTAGGAGTCTTTACATTCTCTCTCCAGTAGCCATGACATAGGATAGAAAATATTCTATGTTATCAGTGTGAACCAAAACCTTTATCACAAACTCAACATATTATCTGCCTTCTTAATGATTTTAGTTATAGTTTCAAGCAATTTCAGAATCAGTGGACCAAACTCCATTATTCAGATTACTCAGATTATATATGAACAAAAAACATGAACTTGAGTATTAAATTATTAACACTCTTATGCCACCTCGCTCCTTTTTTGTAAATAAATGTAGATTCTTAACATTGCAGTATTTTAATCTTGGAAGACAGGAATTAAGGTTTCATATTTGGAAAATAAATAATTAACTTAGAGCGGTTAATTTTTATTAGTTTTTGAATTTAGTATTATAAGTAATACCCATCCACACCCCATGTTTAACATATGCAGAACACTTAACACTACTTACGAATACAATATATCAGTGCTGTTCAAAGCACGGCCCACGGCTAATGTTTGTGCGGCTCACGACATGTTTTTAATCTACTAAAATTACGCGAATTTTCTTTTGGTGTACTG